TGCCCCCTATAAAGATGCCCCCATACCCCCCTCTAGGGGCATCCACATCTTAGGATCAGATGATAGCAATCAAGAGAACAATAGTCCTCCATATTAGGATCTATCCTTTGTAAATAGCAAATAGTGAGATAGAGAGTGATGGAAGAGTTTGGAGAAAGTGCCGCCTATCGGTGCTCTCTCTACGGCTTGTACCTTGGCGGATCCAAGGTCTAACTGAGCTTGCTTCTGAGTCATCTCTGGTTATTGATTTCTGATTCAAGTAAGTTTCATGTTTATATTGTTCATCAAGATCATGACTCTTTTGAGTGCTTTATTCCTGTTTCGGATGGAGAAAGTAGTAATTGTGGTGTAAGCGTGGTGCTTAGACTCTAGTTACTCGTGGATGCACCCTGCATTCTGGATTGGTGGTAGATCATGAGAGTGACAGCCCCGTTGAGTCCTTTGTAGTCCACCTCCCATTTGGAGGCCAAGTAGGACCCGGTTGCAAAGGAAGTCAAGCTCTGTTCTTGATCTTCCTTAGTAATGTCCCTAGGTGAGCACTAGAATACACAACTTACCTAAGTTAGAGATAGAGAACCTTAGTAGTCCTCTCTACGCTCCTATTTATCCTTAGCCTTGTTGCTATTCCTAGTTAAGTTAGACTGTAGTCAATCTCACATGTTTCCCTGTGCATACGATACTTGGAATACTCCCGAGTGAAAGCTACAGCGGATATTCGTGCGCTTATGGATCCTTTTTGTATGCGTCTAAAATATACCAACAGGCTTCCTAGTGGGCATCCTCCCCCAAGAGGCAGAGGACCTGATGCCCTAGCTGGAGGACGCTGTCGAGGTGGTCTTGGCATTTGTGCCCCTGAGGGGCACCTTCACGGCCCTTCACCAGACCGCAACAAAGTGACGGTGGAGACCGGTGCCTTCCATAGCTCCTATGAGAAAGAAGTAGACCAAACAACGTGTGTTCGGTGGTAAGATTGTGGGGTGTTGTCTCTAGAACAGTTTAATGTTTGTAAAGACTAAGTTTGTGTGTTTGCTATTTCTCTGCCGCCTCTTTTTCACTTTCTAGGCTCGTCCGGTGTCTTTTCTGATCGGTATTCGGGATCCTTTCCTTCATGATCCTTGGCTTAGCCGTTTGTGGCTAGGGTTCACCCCCTTTTGATGGCGCACAAGCATTGGTGCTTGGTCAGGGGTTTAGGAAGCGTGAATAGACCAGAAAGGAAGGGACCGGGAAAGCACGTCGAGCGGTGTATGCACGCACATTGGGTGTTTCTGATTAGAGAAGGATCAACCCGTGATGGGCACGGGGGTAGGCCCCGGACCCTCGGCTCAGATTGGGTCGGCCAAGTGAGTAGGGCTACTTACCACTACGTTTTTACTAGAAGGAGGGGGGATTCATAGCAATCAGAACACGAACTTACTTTTTATCTTAAAAACACAAGGTATAGGAATCATAAACAAACGGGAAAACTACATAGCTTTGCATTTGCTTCCTGGGTTCCTTGTCGGTGTAGATGACAAGCCAACTTGACTAGGCGCGGGTGCTGAGCAACTGGGTGGAGGGCTTAGCGGTGGCCTTCCATCAGGAGGAAAGGTTGAAACTCACCGCGATCGGGTCAGCCCCTTCTAGGGGGCTGAGCACCTGGATGGAGGGGCCAGCCAAGCCATCGTAGTCGCCAGCAGCATTGGGTGCCTTGCTGGAGCTCGGTCGGTCGAGCATCGTCATCGCCTAGACCTCTTCCTTGGCCGGTGCGCTTCCTACATCACGGCCAGAGCCGGCGGGATCGCAGGAGGCCGACAACATGGCCGCCTGAGTGACATAGTAGTCCTGGTTGCAGTGCTAGGCCTTCTCAAAGCTGCCCTTTATGGTGATGACCCCATTTGGGCTGGGCATCTTTATCTTCAATTAGGTGTAGTTAGGGATAGCCATGAACTTGGCGAAGCATGGCTGTCCGAGGAGAGCGTGGTATGTGGCGGGGAAGTCCACCAACTCGAAGGTAGCGGCTCCTTCTAGAAGTTATCTGGCTAGCCGAAGGTGACATTGAGCTGGATGTGCCCGAGGGGCACATCTTCCTTCCTAGGATGATCCCATAGAAAGGAACCTTGATTGGGCGCAGGCTACTCCGGGGGATCTTCATCCTGTCGAGGGTGCTGGCGTAGAGGATATTGAGGCCGCTGCCTCCATCCATTAGCACAGGCGCGTGGTGCCTATGATCGGGCTGACCATGAGCGAGTAGCATCCTAGATTAAGGACACGGTCAAGGTGATCGCCCTAGTCGAAGGTGATGGTCGTCTGTGACCACCTGAGCCGCATCGGGGCAGCCAAGGTGTGGATGGCGTTCACCTCCTACTTGGCGATGCGGCGCCAATGGTGGGACTTGTATGCCTGGGGGCCCCTGAAGATCATGAGGTCCTACTCGGCCTCGGGTAACTTGGTGTCTTCCCCCTAGGCGCTGTCTGCCGCCGCACCAGCCTTCTAGGCAGGCTTCCTAGGCTTTGCCCTGTTGGCCGAGGGTTCCACGGATGTAGCCCCTCATGGTCACGCAGTCCTTAAGGAGGTGCTTCTCCTATCCCCCATGGAATGCGCAGGGGGCCCGAGCGCCTTCTCAAAGTGCTCGAGGCACACACCCGTTCTACAGGGTAAGGCCAGGCGGTGAATTCGGCTGTAGACACCCCTATCCGGTGCACCGCCCCCTGTGTCCGGTGCTAGGAATTCCCAATGGCTAGTTCAAACTAGCCGTTGGAATTCGACTGTTGGTGCACTGCCACCCCTTGTCCGGTGTGACACGTTGTTATCCCGTGCCCACGCAGAATTCAGCTCCAAGGGTCCAACGGCTCTATTTGCTTGTGTGGCTATAAATCGACTTGGTGGTCGGCCTTGGCCACTCTCTTGGAACCCCAATGCGTGTGGCACTAGTTGAGTGCCTAGGGCTGGTCGTTCTCTTGTTACTCTTGGTGTTTGCGACACCTAGATGGCCTAGAGATTAGATGATCGTTGAGCGGAAGTGGTGATTGTTTCGGGTTCTGATTGGTTGATTGTGAGGGGTGTTGTGCCTTCCCCGGTGGAGCGCCAAAGACAACTCTAGTAAATTGCTTATGTCGTTGAATGCCCTCATTTGTGTAGGCTCTTATGGCACCCTTGTGTAGGGCTAGTCTTGTGTATGCCTATTAGCGCGTGAACCACCAAGTGAACGCCCGACACAAAAGGGACTAGCTTCCGGCAAGCAAGTGAACCTTGGGATAAATCATTGTGTCTCATTGGTATTCTTGTGTATGATTTATCTCTTGCCATGTTTGGTGTACATCTCTATCACTTGCATTACATTCGTTTATTGATATCTCTTGTGCAATGATGGTTTTTGTAGGTAGTTAAATAGAGAAGTAGTTAGTTGAGTAGCTAGTTTATTTTAGTTGCAATTACCTTGTTAGCTAGCTCACTAGACTAGAGGTAGTGACATAGCTCATTGATTGCCATAGAGATTGTAGCTCACTAACATATTGGTAGGTGGCTTGCAATTTAAGTAGGCTAGAGCAAAATGCAATTATCGCCATACTGCTATGTAACAATTTTCTTTGTATAATTTTTAGTTAGTCCATTGATCCCCTCGAGCCATTTAGGACCTTTTACATAGCGGGACTGTCGTTGTCGCCGCACGGTTGCGGCGGGGCTCAAGCAAGCCGACAAGTTCATGCGTTGCCTCCCGCACGTGGCCATCTTCGGCGATGGGCCCATCCACGTCCTGGGCTCAGCCGACGATGTCAGGATGGTGACAGACCACCTGAGCTGCATCTGCCTCCTCCGGAACTTGAGGAACAATTCCTACTACCTCGACGTCGTGGGCATCGCCGTGAACGGCGCGCTTGTGGCCCTGCCGAACGGGAAGCGCCCTCGCCCTCTCTAGCCAGGGCCAGGGTGGCGTCGCGCTGAGAATGGTCACACCCTATGTACACGGTGCTACGCCCAGGCATCTACCGCGTGGTGCTCGCGGTGTTCGACATGCCACTGCCACCCACCCGCACGCCGCCGAGGTGCCTAGGCCGCTGGAGTGCTACTTCAACCAGATTGTGATGAACCTGATGGGGACGTGGACCGGATCCCTGCCGGTGGCCCTGGCTAGAGAGGGCGAGGGCGCTTCCCGTTCGGCAGAGATATGAGTTATTAGCTAGATAAGGGGCCCAAGTCTGGGAGCGGCTAGATATGAGTTAGAGAGAATTCTTTATTTGACACTGGGAAAATGAGTCGTTCCTTTCTTGGCCCTGAAATTTTCTTCGTTCCTTATTTGACACTCACTTGAACTTTCATCCCTAATATGACACCACAGTCAAATCCGTTAGCTAACGGTGTTAAGTGGCTGTTAAAAAGACCTTTTTGCCCCTGGGCGCTGGCGCATGCATGCAGAGCATGCAGAGGCGCGGACGCTAGCATGCAGCGTGAGTAGCCAGCGGCCAGATACGCTGCATGCTGGCGTCCGTGCCTCTGCATGCGCTGCATGCATGCGCCAGCGCCCAGGGGCAAAAAGGTCTTTTTAACAGCTACTTAACACCGTTAGCTAACGGATTTGACTACGGTGTCATATTAGGGATGAAAGTTTAAGTTGGTGTCAAATAAGGAACCAAAAAAATTATTTCAGAGTCAAGAAAAAAACGACTTATTTTTCTAGTGTCAACTCTCTATGAGTTATTACTGGTCCTCAGTATACCAGACGGGAGCACGAGTCATCACTCGAGTTGACGCGTCCATGGCGCGCGTTGGTGGGCAAGTCGTGGGCATTCCAGAACATATCTACTGTCGCTCAGCCTCCATTGACCATTTGACCACACGCCAGAACAAAAAGGCTTTTTTGCCTTGCGTTCCAACACAGTGGCCAATAGGGGCGCAGCCTGCACCGGGCCGCACTCTCCGTCCAGGTGGTCTGTCTGCCCAGTGCCAATCCCCAAGGAACCCCACCCATCGCCAAGGCAAAACAGGGAGGCAGGGACTGAGATTGAGTTGACAGCATCGGAGCCATGGCGGCAGCGTCGGCCAACGGGCAGGAGGTGCCGAACAAGCGGGTGATCCTGAAGAGTTACGTGACGGGGTTCCCACGGAGGACGACATGGAGGTGGTCACCGGCACCGTGCGCCTCGCCTTGCTGCGGTAGTATTTTTCTTTCATACCAAACCAGTCGACGATACTTCTATCTTATAATCTATGATCGTTTCAGCCGAAATGAACAGGCTGACGGTGGTCAAGAACCTCTACGTCTCCTGCGACCCGTACATGCGCGGCCGCATGACAAAGCACGACAAGCCCAGCTACGTCCCGGACATCGTCGTGGGCGAGGTAACTAATAATTAAGGGTAAAATTTGATGTTTTTTCGACGTGGGGGAAGTAACTAAAGAAGTCTAAAGAAACTTGTAGTCAACGAGAATTAAGGGTAAAATTTGACGCCAAGGTTAAAGATAAGGTTTTTTCGCTGTTCGTTTGATTTTTGGAGAAGCGTCAGAGGACCTTTGTGAGCCGTGGAACTTGTGCAAATTACTAGAAAATTTGGAATCCCGTGCTCAGGTGTCAAAATATTTATGACCCGGTTCAACTTGAACTATTCGAACAAAAAACTTAAATTTAGATTGTGAATCTATGCCTTCATTTATTAATAGGGCTAAAAGTGAATTAACTGTCCTCTGATGTTTGAACAGCACATGTTGACAAAAAAAAAACAAGATTGATTGTGTAGTTTTATTCTAAAGAACATATGGGGGTTCTCTGTACTCTGTTCAGCCTGTGGACTGGTGCTAGGTCCACTTCTCTTCCATTTACTTCTTCATTTTCAACTAGGGACCTTGCACTCTTACAGTTCTGTGCTCCCATACCCTGGTGCAAATCCTGCTGACTTCGGTAAACTTTGGTGTATGCAAGGTGATAGCATCTGGGCATCCGGATTTCAAGGTTGGCGATCTCGTGTGGGGGATGACCGGATGGGAGGAGTACACTTTCGTCCCTAAGCCAGAGTCATTTTTGAAGATCAATCATCCTGAATTGCCTCTGTCGTACTACACGTACGGGTGTTCTTGGTGAGTTCATTGTTTAGCTTACTGCATTTTCTTTCAACCAAACTTAACCGCTTCAACCTCAAGTCTTTCCTCCAAAATCTGTTTTATTTTCTGGACTTCATCCAACTTACAGATTAGACAGTCTTTTACTGAATCCAAATGTTTCCGTGTTCCTCTGAAGGAATCCTTTTTCTTTATTCTTACACTGCTGTTCCAAGTGTTTCTTCCCAAACTAACTATATATATGGTAACTATCATACTGTTCTGGCATGCCCGGCCTTACTGCTTGGGCTGGATTTTTCGATGTGGGCAAGCCCAACAAAGGCGACTATGTCTTCGTCTCAGCAGCATCAGGCGCCGTTGGTCAGCTAGTTGGGCAGTTTGCTAAGCTCACTGGCTGTTATGTGGTTGGCAGTGCTGGTTCTGACGAGAAGGTTTGCGAAATCTTCTTCTCCTTTATCTTCTGGCAACGATTTGCTTTCTTTTGTTCTCTAGTTCATGTACGGTTTTACGAAGTTGTTTACACCCAAATTTAAGAGAAGAGCGCGGGAACTTGCAGGCTTTCAAGATTGTATCAATCAAGGAGTCGATTGCGTAAAGATTGATATCTGCCAGTTCGGATGTGACACTGGGATCGGTTCTCTTAAAACAACGTCAGCAGATAACGATGATGAGGTATAATTGGCATCGAGAAAATACGTATCGGACTCTACAAAAGGGGAAAGATTAGAGTCCAAATTATCTTAAAATAGGAATATTTTGTTCGTACCAAAGATTGTACTGAGTCATACTCGAGTAGGACTCGTTTTTAGGCTCCGGGTATAAATATCAAACACCGGCTATTGTAAGACACACAATCAATCCAATACAAATCATTTACTTTTTTCGGCTCCGGCCACCTCTTAGGAGTAGGAGTAGAGTAGATCTTGGCGAGTTCTTTCAATGAGTACAGCTGCATCGATCCGGTCGACCTCCACTGCTTGTTTGTAAGTACCGTCATGGTTTATACTTCTATTCGTATAGCTGCATCGATCCGGTCGACCCTCACTGCGACTCTGGTATAAGCTAGTTATGGACTCTTGTCTAGTTTAAGTACGGCTGCATCGATCCGGTCGACCTCCACTGCTCGAATTAGATTAAGATCAAGTTATCGGCTCTATCTAAGGGTGGCGTTCCTTCGGATAGATTCATTAAGTTACCAATGTTGCTTATTGCTTCCATTATTTATCTATTTACAGCAATATCACTTCATCCGATTGGGATTGATCTAGATCGGCCTTATATCTTGTTTAACCCATCGTTTGTTAATCCAAAACTGGTCTAATTCGCATCTTAAACGATGAGTTATGTTTTATCGGCCGTTTTATGTCAATCTTGATCATGCATAGCGTGCGGTTAAGGCATATTGCGTCTTGAGTGGATCTATTGGTTATCGAAAACCGTCCCATGACCCGTTATCACAGCCTATGTGATTCTGCCTCACACCCCACTATTAGCACCGTGGAGTGGGGATCGTTATTTGGTAGATCTAATCCTAATAAGGCATGAACATAACTATGCGCTATGCCTGAATCGGCTGTTTTAGCCGATATCGAGTGCTTTCACGAATAGTTCACGTCACGAGATCGTTGAAGTAAAGATACGTTGATCTTATTATTGTATTACGGCCTGCATGATTCTGCCTTATGCTCCATTGTATTTGTAATAAGTTAGGGTCGTCAAGTCTATTGTTATTTCTACGGCCTGCATGATTCTGCCTCGTGCCTCACTGGTCATAGAGATAGATGAGATCTAATATGTTCATTAGATTTATTTTTATTAAATGGATGAATGATGATGACCTATTTCTTTTACATAAAACGGGTTTGGTTACTTGCGGTCATTGGCTTAGCATAAACCAATTACTGTTGACATCTTATTGCCATTGACCAATATTTGTTTAAATAATAATATCCATCCTAAATGATAACCGATTCTTCTTACACAACCCCATGAGCTTTAACTGACTTATTCTTATGAATATGCTGGAATCAACTATTTAGTCGATCTTCTTTCATATCGGCTCTCAGAGCTGCACATTCAGGACTATCTGGCAACACCAGCACGTTTCGCCCGAAATTACTGATAAACTTTCTCTCTCTGTCAATTGCAGGGTCAAATTGACTAGCACGTCTCGGGAGAAGTGCATAGGATCGATCATCCCTGCGTTGAAGCTAGGTGGATCTACAGCTCCATTGAGCAGACCCTTCCGGCTTGCTTGTGTGCCCTCGACACGGGATGAAATTTTGTGCCGACACATGTTTCTGGCACGCCTGGTGGGACCCCACAATCATCATGGCGGCTCACAACAACAACGACATCCTTATGATACATTATGAAGATCTACCTGATGGAGATAAAGATATCATCTGCAAAGCTACAGAAGAGTTTCAGAACAAGCGTTTGTTGTCCTACACCAAAACACGTGATAACACAATTATTCAGAAATTTCCCAAGAAACTTTTGACTTCTATCACATTACGGGGTTGTTCCCATTCTTTCACAGCTTCAATCTTAGCTGGGTCAACTGCTACACCTTCAGCTAATAGTACATGGCCTAGGAAGGCAACTTCCTGTAGCCAAAACTCACATTTGCTGAATTTTGCGTAGAGCTGATGTTGGGCTAGTTTCTCAAGTACAGTTCTCAGATGATGTTCATGTTCTTCAGCGGTGGATGAATAGACAAGGATGTCATCAATGAATACCACCACGAACTTATCTAGTTCATCCATGAAAACCTTATTCATCATGTTCATGAAGTATGTGGGAGCATTCGTGAGTCCAAAGGATACCATAGTGAACTCAAACTATCCGTACCTAGTCACGAAAGCTGTCTTCGGGATGTCACTCTCTCGAATCTTCATCTGATGATAGCCAGATCTGAGATCAATCTTGGAGAAGTACTTGGCACCTCTGAGTTGATCGAGCAAATCATCAATCCTTGGCAGGGGGTACTTGTTCTTGATGGTGACTGCGTTCAAGTTCCGGTAATCAATGCACATTCTCATTGAGCCATCCTTCTTCTTAACAAACAGAACAGGGGATCCCCAGGGTGAAGCACTGGGTCTGATATATCCCTTTGAGATGAGCTCATCAAGCTGTTTCTTGAGCTCGGCCAGTTCATCAACTGACATGCGATAGGGTCTCTTGGCAATAGGTCCTGTTCCCGGCAAAAGATCAATGATGAACTCCACATCACGGTCTGGTGGCATACCCGGTAATTCTTCAGGGAAAACATCGGGGTAGTCTCTGACCACAGGCACATCATGAACTGTCTTCTCCTCTTTCTTTGAGCTTGCTTTAAGGGCACATAGGATAGAGGTGGATTTTCCAGACTAGGGTTCACATCTAATAACTTGTCCTGATGGATGGGTCACTTGGACGTATCTAGGTGAACTTGATATGATGCCTCGGTGAATGGTTAACCAATCCATGCCTAAGATGACATCTAGGTTAGTGGAAGGTAACAGGGTTAGGTCGGCTTTAAAGGTAAGACCCTCAATGGTAAGACTCACTCCCTTACAGATGTGGGTGCATTTTAGGTCTCCTAAAGGTGAGCTGGTGATGATAGGCTTTTCACGTGGGGTTACAGGCAGGTCATGCTCTCGTGCAAACTTGGATGATATGTATGAACAAGTTGCTCCAGAATCAAACAGAACTGATGCAGTATTGCCATTAACTAAAAACATACCATACACAACGTCAGGGGCAGTCTGTGCTTCCTCAGCGTCCAGATGGTTGAGACGTCCATGGGTAGCAGATCCCTTGAACTGAGACTTCTGAGCAGCTGAGTTCTGAGGACATTCAGCGGCTTTGTGACCTGGTTGGCCACAAGCGAAGCAGGTGAAAGGCGCACCGCCTGTAGGGGTTGGCGCGGGTGCCTTCCAGTTTCCAATGCCTGGTGCGGAGCGGTTCTGTGCTGGGCGTTCATTCGCTGAGCGGGAACGGTTGAAACGATCCTGAGTGTTGTGGTCCTGAGCATAACGGTCCCTGGTGTAACGATCCTGAGCAGGGCGAGAGTATTTGGCGGTGTAGCCTCCACTTCCCTTACTCGATCCAGGGTTGTCATCCCTATTGTGGTGTGAGCATTCCCTGGATGGTGCATCTCTGCAGAACCTTTTGCGATCACGGCCACGGAAGGACTCCTCAGGCTTACGCTTTCTCTCCCTGTACTCTTCTCCAGCTTCAGCATGGTCTTTCTCAATCTGGATGCAGCGATCCACCAGAGCACGCAGTGGGTTACTCTCAATACCACCAAACTTCAGTTTGATGTGCGGGTTCAGTCCCTTGCGGTAATAATACAGCTTCTCCTTCTTAGAGTTCACAACATAGGAAGGTGCATAGCGCAGAAGGTTGGTGAAACGAGTAGTGTACTCAGTCACCTTATCCTTTCCCATCTTGATGTTGCGGAACTCCTCGGCCTTGGCCTCCATAATACCCTTGGGAATGTGGTACTCAGTGAATGCTTCGGCGAACTCATCCCACGATATATTGGCAGGGTCCTCATGGGAATCACTGAAACTGTCCCACCAGGCATGTGCTGCACCTATGAGTTGGTGTGCGGCAGCTCCAACACACTCATCGTCAGTGAAAGTAGTGAGGTCAAGCTTCTTCTCCATCTCCTTGAGCCAGTCATCGGCTACAAGTGGGTCAGGATCAGTGCCATCATAGGTAGGTGGCCTTAGCTTCCGAAATCCTTCTAGCTTCCTTTGGAAGTCATTCTGCTGACCTCTCTGGTGACGGTTTGCTCCTTCAACAAGAGCTGCAAGAAGCTGGGTCTGCTGTGCCATCACTTCTGCCAGGTTCGGTGGTGGTGGTGGTGGAATGTTCTCCTCAACAGGCGGCGGGGTATTCTCCAGGTTGAAGGGTATCCTTCGCGTCCACGGCCACGGCCACGGCCACGCCACGGTTGTTGCCACCACGGCCCCCGTTGGGTTCGGCTGGTTCGGGGATGGGCGCACATCCATGGTTCATTAGACGAGCAGATCGGCGGTTCGGCATCTGCAACATGGACCATAAGAATTTTAGTGCTCATGCCATAAGTGCTTATAATTCGATTATGATTATATGATTTCGATGATTTAAAGAAAATCATTATACTATCCAACACTCATTACAAAGAAGCAATAAGATCCATAAGATGCAATAAGATCCAAATCATTCATTACATGGGTTTTATTACATAGCATCATCTCCAGTAGCTACACTTGAAGACGTGCAAGAATCGTACTACGCATAGTGTCTCATAATACATCTCATAAGGGGTACATCATGGAGTACAACTCATGGAAGCTACTGACATATCTCATGACCACGCAGGGTCATCTACTCTAACTCGTACACCGCAGCCGGATACTCTGATTGTTCTCGATCTCGATCTCCTCGTCGGACTTGT